GGAGGATCCGTGGTACTGTCCCCGGTGTAAGAAGCACCAGATGGCCGATAAGAAGTTTGATATCTGGCAAGTGTGGTAGTTGGTGATCTTTTATTTCGAAGTATTTAATCCTTTGTTCTCCCCAGGTCGCTGCCAAAGATTCTCATCATTCACCTGAAGCGCTTCCAGTACTCACGGCTGCACCGCGAGAAGCTCGACGTNTTCCAGTACTCACGGCTGCACCGCGAGAAGCTCGACGTGCTGGTGGACTTTCCCGTGCACGGCATGGACATGACGCCCTTTGTGCTGCACAACCCGCAGCGGCGCGCCTTCAGGTACGACCTCATTGGCGTCTCCAATCACTTTGGCGGCCTGGGCGGCGGGCACTACACCGCATTTGCGAAGAACTGCCGCAACAAGCGCTGGTACAACTTTGACGACTCCAGCGTGTCGGCGCAGGCGGAGACGAATCTGGTGTCCAAGTCGGCGTACGTCCTCTTCTACCAGCTGCAGGATGGGAGTAACAGCAGTGAGTACTTTGTGGCGGCGCCGGAGACCATCGCCGACACGCCCCCCTCCTCTACCAGTGATAGTGATGGCAACTTTTGATGATTTTGCCGACTGAAATTGAAGTGAAGTGAACAACAAAAACTATCTTCTCCCCATGGAAGCAAACAAAACCTGAGACTGTTTGCCTCCGAAACTTCTTCTTTTTACTATTACTACCTTTTAGCTTTATTTATTTATACCTCCTCCTCTTCTCAAGTTCACGCTAACAACTGTTTACCAACCACACACCCACACACACACACCTTTGCCTGTAGATTAAGTGAGAGATTTTACAACAAACAAGAGCGATCCCCAGATTTATTCTTCAGTTATCTTCTTTTATCTTCTTCTTCTTCTCAAGCCCCTAACTGTCCTTATTCTTGTATTCTCAAATTCTTGAATCCCCCTCATTTTTATACTTAACCCCTCTGAAAACAACAAAACTACAGTGATCCCCTTTAGAAACAGCAAACAAACAAAATAAAGCCATTACACTCAATTGGAAAAGTGTTGTTTACTGAACAAAATTGGTAACGAAAATATAGAAAGACAGACACTCCCTCCTCCTCCTCCTCCACCTCCTCCTTAACAGCTGATACTGTACTCCAGACGGCGGCGATTTCCACCTCCCTGGTTGAGCAGCATCATCTGCACCACCAGCCCTCGGCCATTGGACACCCGGTCCCGAGCCACGGTGACCTCAATATCCAGCGTCTTGCCCGCCTCCACCGAGATGGGCTCGGCCAAGAGGAAGATCGTCTGCTTCCAGTGGGTGGGCTCCTCGGCAAAGGGCGAGGTGCTCAGAACGACCGTCCGGCAGAGGGCGTCAAAGTACACGTCGAACCAGCCAATCAGTCCATGCACCGTGGCCGCCTTCTCAAACTTGAGCTCCAGCACGCGCGAGGTGATCGTGGTGACATCGGCCAGACTGCACCGGGCAATGTCCAGCTCGGCGATCGTTTCCGCCGAGCTGACGACGGTGCCCTCCGCCAGGCAGTCCACGGCCGCCTCGCCCACCACGTCGCCAATCATGGTGGTCATCTTGAAGCCGTACACGTCGTGCCAGAAGTCGATGTGCCGCTCGTAGAAGGCCGCGTCGCTGAAGGCCGCCAGGAAGAGCTTGCTGCGGTTGGGCAGCAGCAGCCCGGTGTTCGGTTTCAGGAAACGGTCACGCGCGAAGAGAACCGTGTCGAGCATGCCCTCAAAGAGGAGGAAGTAGCCCATCCACTCGGAGACGATAAAGTCGTAGGTGGTGGGCAGGCCGAGGGCGGCAAAGTCGAGCGACTCGAGGCGGCCCTTCACCGGGCGGATGACCGCCTCGTAGCCGTTCAGGCGGACGATGTCCATGGCGTTGTAGACGATGTCGCTCTGGTCGACGGCCACCACCAGCGAGGCGCCCGCCTTGGCGGCAAACAGCGAGAGAATGCCGGTGCCGCAGCCAATGTCCAGGACCGTCTTCCCCTTGAATTGCTCCGCATTCTCCAGGATGGCGTCCTTGTAGGCCAGTGTTCGCGCCCTGTCGGAGAGCATCACGTGGTGAATGCCGAAGTGGGCGTAGGAGCTGATGTAGTCGGCGTCGGCGGCCAGGTCTGATGATCGCAGGCTTTGGTCCTGAGTGTTTGTGGTGCCTGTGGCAGTGGACTGATCATCGGCGGCGATGCTGCCCTGAATGAACTGCTTCATCTCGCCGGAGAGGGTCTTCAGAGCCTCGTAGCGGCTCTTCAGCTGAAGAAGGTCGGCGATGACGGCCTCCTTTGAGGCCCCCTTGTAGTGCGTTTCGAGATCGGCAATCTGTTCAGCAGTTGAGGCTGATGAATCTTGAGAAGGCGGCTGTTGTGAATGTTGTTCTATTTCGTGTGAACCTTGTGCGGTATGGTCATCATCATCATCGTCGTTGTCGTAATCTGATCAGGAATACAAACAATGTTAGAAAAGGCTGCTGAATTGAAAGGGAATCATTATCGCTTACCAAACATCAACAAGTGATCATCCTCGAGACTGGGCTTCAGGTAGTCGTCGCGGTCATAGGCGTTGCTGATAATCACCGTCTCCACCTCGCCCGCTTCGACGGCCTTTGTGCGAATGTAGTTGACCAGTTTGATGAACTGAATGGTGTTGTACACCTTGCCGGAACCTTTGCAGGTGCCCACAAAGTCGAGGCCATGCTCGGCGGTGATATGCGAGAAGGTGCCCTCAAAGGAGGGAAAGTGCTCCGAGCAGAAGAGACACTGCATGTCCAGCAGCTCTTCGTTGCCCTCCTCGTACTCGTCCTCTGAAGAGTCGCAGTTGTGGGAGTTCATGCTGGTGATGAGGAGTGGTGCTGG